GGTGCCTCGGACTTTGCTTAGTTGTGTTCGGACGGACATAATAAACCATCTATACTAGGGGTGCATTATGAGATCTTGCCCATATGTGAGTATATATATATAATATATATATATATTATTATATATATTATATATATAATATAATATATATATATATTATATATTATATATATTATATATATTATATATATATTATATATATTATATATATTATATATTATATATATATATTATATATATTATATATTATATATATATATTATATAATATATAATAATATATATATATACATTATACATGTGTAATTCTATATTCTATATGTGTTTATTAAAGGAAATGTAGAAGTCTAAACTCCGTTTTACGGTTTTTCAAAAAGTGAAGAAATTCAATCACCACCACCATCACGATCACCAACATCACCAACGTCACCAGCATCACCAACATCACCACATCACCACGGCGATGTGGGGAACCTTGTTTGTGCGACGGAGGAAGTACTTTGTGCAAGCTTGGTAGTACGAAGTAGAACTGGGAAGTACCTTGCGCAAGTTTTGTAGTGCACAGGATGGATCTTGTCAGCAAGGTACGAAAACTCAAGAGAAAGAGATGCCCAGAGAAAGACATGAGAATGAAAAACCACGTCAAGACAAAGGACATGTGAAGAAAAGAACGTCTCAAAGGACAGAAAGAAGATGAAAACAACAGGATACAAGACAAATGGTGCCAAGAGAAAACCATGTCAAGAGAATGGGATGTGGAGGGAAGAGAATGTCAAGAGAAGAAGGTCCCAAGAAAAAGGGATGCCAAAAGATAGGGATGCCAGATGCCAAGAGAAAGAGACGCCAACGGAAAGCGGCTGAAAAGACATCGGTTTCAAGAGACAGCGATGACATCAGAAAAACATTGTCAGGAGAGAAGTGTGTCAGGTCTTGGGCTTCACAGCTGCCAGCAAGGGGGAGCTGTCAAGATTCGGAGATGACAAGCGCAAACCGGAGCAAGAGAAAGTGGCATCGTCAGAAAAGGATGCTGAGAGAAAAACATGTCAAAGAGAAAGAGTTCCAAGAGATGACGCAGCCAACGGCCGTGACAACCAGGCAGTCAGGCTTCATTCCTATAGGCTCTCCCTTCTCTTTACAGGCGTCCCCCATCATTCCCCCCTTTCGAAACTTCCGTCACCCGACTTGCCTTAGCAAGGTTTCCAAGGTACGGCTTTCAATTCTCTTTCCAAAACTCCGCCAGTGCCTTGGGATCCACCAAGGAGATCTGTCGCAGATGGGGAGCAGCAAATCCTCTTCCTCGAGGATGCGGTACCAGATCCTTGGCGAAGGGATCTGCTGTTCCGCACCTGATGGATTGACCTTGTGCCCAACTATTTGAGGATTTTTCAAAATTGTGGAACCCCAAATTCCACTAAGAAAGGCTCCGGCTATCGCTCGTGGTTGGATCTTTCGACCCATGTTTCAGCGGTTCCCGTTTTTCCGTTCACATTCAAAACACGATCGATTGCAGCTGGCAGTTGTTCCTGTCGAGCTTGGCAAATTGGCCACCCTGATGTTGACGATGGTCATGTCACCTCGTCAGTACATATTGGAAATTCACTAACTATCATGATTATCCCTGGGAGGTACCATTGACATGACCGCTGTATCTCTCCCCTCGTCATATCATGTCACAAAGTCAATTTCTTTCATGAATCTCCACATAACCTTGATGTTTGGTATTTTACACTGGCACATGTACACCGTATGTACTCGCGCAATCTCTGATATCAATCAATGGCATATTTATATCTACATATATATATATATCTACACATATATGTATATAAATGAATTATACTTGTACTACCTGCCCACCAAGACAGCTTTCTATAACTGTTTCCATTAAAAGTCCCGTAGCTCAGGTGCATGACTTTCGCCTCGGAGACCATTGGCTGGAGTCTGACAAGGAACGGCTATTTTGGCAAGAGACGAATCTTTCTGCCCATTGGATTTTTTTGATTCGAGGTTGAGATGAGTGGTTTTGTTCCTGATGAAAATGGGATCAAGGCATGTCTGAGTGGAGCATGCTCTTTATTTTTCTACCGGTCTTGAATCACTTGAATCCTTAGTTCGCTGTGAAAACCCAGGAAATTCTACCAGATCTTTCCCTTGGAAATGTCAATGTGGTCTGCAATTCTGCAAAAGTTGTTGAAGGTGGGTCCTGCAACGATCTCCCAGTGGGTAAATGGGATGGATGAGACCCGTCTTGGAGGATTTCAGACGCCTAGAATTCGATTTTGGTCGGCGCTTAAACTTCGTCTCAGAGATACAGAAATCATGACTGAACATGATGTAGCCCCAAAGTTGAAATGGCTTCAACTTTCAACCTCACAAAACTCACGAAAACATCCCATTTTGTCCCGAAAACACAGATAATTTTGACTGTTGGCCCAGACCCAGTTGGCCTCCAACCAGGTGTACTTCGTCGGCGGCATCGCTGAAACACCTCGCTTTCGGAGCTGGCCCGGCCGGGATCGACATCAGCTCTGGGTCGCTTGGAGAAGGGGTCTGGATTGTCCAACAAATAGGGAAAACTTACCCCAGATTCATCATCATAAAATCATCTAAAATCCCCATTCAAAAAATGAGAGAGATGCCAGAAATTGGGGGACGTGTCCCATTTTTTCAGACACACCCGGTTGCGGAGGCACTGATAGAATCATCAAACATCTTTCGGTACCCCAAATAATCCGAAATTAGGTCATTTTAGTATTGAAACCCATGGGTTTTGGGGTACCCCCATTTTAGGACATACATAAATATAAAATAAGATTGGTTCCCCCCAGGAACATTATCCACATATGGTGGGTTTTCTACTTTGACGTATGTCAAATGACTGAAGCCAGGCATCACTGTGGCTTGCCTTGCGCTTCCAAGTCCAGCATAGCTATAGTCTGGTGGAACTCCAGTGGGTGGTGGCACCATGGCGGCGTTGAAGTTGAAGCGTTGGTTGATGATGATCTTATCATCTAAATGGGGTCTTAACCTTCAAACTATGGGGATTTTGCGTGGATGTAACTGGACTGATATATTGGTATAACCGAGAAAGGATGTTTGATTACTGTTTAGTTTGCGGAATTATACTATCCTTGCTATATACATTGGTATATGTCGGGGATGTTCATCTATGAACTGGGAATCCCGTTCTTGACCAGCCAATATCATGAAATGACAGGGTTTTGAACACTGCTCCGTCGGCAAAACCATATGGGAACACCATGAAAGTGGATCATGTTCCATAACCCATAGGCTTTCCAGATCAGGGTTGGCAGCTTTCCAAGGTTAGACATCACAGCTGGGTAACTCACCTGGGATGTGCCATGTTCGTGCTTATCAGCTTCAGAAAGACATTGTTTTGAGATGGGAGGACAATTGAAGACGCGGTGATGTCAGAGCTTCTAACTCAACCGGGAACCAAGGGGACAAGGTTCAGACTCAGTAAATTGAACAGGGACTCAGTAGTTTGAACCTACCAGGTCTGCAGGGACGGAGGTCAAGACCGCTGGATTTCTGCTTTCGTTTTCCGACGCTAGGCATATCACCTCGATGAGCCCACTCTTCCACTCATCAAGGCGGTGCAGAGCGAGCTCTTTCGGCGTGGATTCTTGGAGGAGCTGCCAGGGGAAAGACAGGAGGAGTGGTTCCGAAAACTTGGTGGAGGTGGTTTCCCCGTCCCTTCCGCAGACGTCCTGGAACCACGCAAGATCCCATGTTTCCCAGACTTTGCTGCAGGAGTGTCCAGATGATGTGCAGTTCTCAAGGCTCTCAATCTCCGGCGTCAAGTGGGTCTTGGATGGCGACAAGTTCTTCAGGCCGCGCGCCGTTGACAAATGGGGGGGAAGGGGTGCATGCTACCAGCTTAGAACAAGACAAGGTCATCCCAAAACACCTGGTGTGCAAGGAATAGCAAAGATGAATTATTGTACCAGTAGTACTGCACTGCAGTAGCTGTAGTTGTAGTTGTAGTTGTAGTTGTGTAGTTGAAATTGAAGTCAAAGTTGTAGCTGCAGTCGCAGTTGTAGTGTAGCTGAAGTTGTAGTTGTAGTTGCAGCTGTAGTTGCAGTTGCAGTTGTAGTGTAGTTGTAGTTGTTGCAGTTGCAGTTGTAGTTGCAGTTGTAGTTGCAGTGGCACTTGTAATCGTAGTTGTAGTTGTAGCAATTGTAGTTGAGGTTGTAGTTGTAGTGTAGTTGAAGTTGCTGTTGTGGTTGTAGCTGTAGTTCTTGTAGTTGAAGTGTAGTTGAAGTTGTAGTTGTAGTGGTAGTGTAGTTGTAGTTGTACTGTGGTGTAGTGCAGTTGCAATTGTCTACCTATATATCGGTTTATCTATTTGTCTTTCTGTTTATCTATCTGTCTATCTGTCTATCTGTCTATCTGTCTATCTGTCTATCTGTCTATCTGTCTATCTGTCTATCTGTCTATCTGTCTATCTATCTATCTATCTATCTATCTATCTATCTATCTATCTATCTATCTATCTATCTATCTATCTATCTATCTATCTATCTAATCTATCTAATCTATCTATCTATCTATCTATCTATCTATCCATCTATCTATCTATCTATCTATCTGTCTATCTGCAAGCTTGAAAACGAAGCTATTTTGCGACACCTCCTCAATTTTTGAATTTGACACATCTAAAACGAAGCATTTCTGCGAGACTTCCTCGATTTTTGAACTTAACAACATCAAAAATGAAGCAATGCTGCGAGACTTCCTTCAAATATGGAAAGTTGAGTGCAGAGCTGACGGCCTCGTACCAATGCATCTTGCGATTTTTCCACCACCTGTTAAAAATGCTGCGCCTGCCACGACAAAGTGATGCCAGGTCATACGAAGTGCTGCACCTGTCACGCAAAATCATCTTCCCAAAACTGAAGATCTGATGCTCCAAAATGCAACCCTTGTCAGGAAATCAGCGCCCTCACCTCCCAACATCTCTGATGAACATGTCTCTTGTATTGCGCCTACCACGGAAAACGCATCTTTGCAGATCCTCCTCAAATGTCCCACGCCTGCCATCGTTTTTGGAAATGCTACAAAACCCTCACGTTTTGCTCGCACTTTTGGCAAGGTCCGCAATCGCTTGCGCCTGCCACGCAAAACGACGCTTCAACGTCCAAAAGTGGCGCGTGCATGTGGTGTTTTGTACATTTTGACTTCGAAATCTGCTTCGCGCCACAACGGCGCGCACTTTTTCGACATCTCAACTTCCAAAAGTGTTCGGAACCCGTCAGTTTTTGACACTTTCCACTTCGAAATATGCTGCGCGCCACAACGGCGTGCACTTTTTCGACATCTCAACTTCCAAAAGTGCTCCGAGGCTGAGGTGTTTTGTACATTTTGACTTGGAAATGTGCTTCGCGCCACAACGGCGTGCAATTTTTCATCTCTCATCTGGCCAGCTGGCTCCGCACCCGCCGCTTTAGCGAGCCTACTTTTCGACCCTCCGGAGCCACAAATCATTGTAAAAATGCAGTGTTTCGCGACTTTCCCACCTTTTCGCGCACCTGCATCTTCTTTCTGCTGACTCTTTCTCTTCTCTGATCTTCTCTCTTCTGCTCTTCTCTCTTCTACGCTTCTCTCTGACTCTTCCCATCTCTGCTTTTCATCTATCCATATTGTCGGAAGTTTGACTTCAAAACTTCCTTCGATCAGTTATTGAAAACTGCGAGTCATTACCAGTTATTACTAGTTATATTTAGTCGCAGAAATCCATGCCATCGATTCCACTGCCGCGCCTGCAGGTCGCGGAAAGCAGACGCTGCCGGTGGGAAGGTGCGGGTAGTACTTGCAGTGTGGCAGGAAACCGCGATAGCGATTTTGGGGTGTCAAAATGGTTGGGAACTTGGGAACCCATGAAAATCAGGATATGATAGATATGCTACTCACAAGTTGAGGAGCACGGGTTCACTGAAAAGACACTTCCTCTAGTCCCTTCGGTTTTGAGTTTAGCACAGAAAGATGTTCGAACATGCAGATTTGGAAGTTTCCTAAAATGGAGGTACCCTAATCATCCAAAATTAGATCATTTCAGTATTGAAAGCCATGGTTTTGGGGATCACCCATTTTAAGAACCCCCATCTAAAGCAATTCAGTGGCACCCAGAAGAGATTTGGCCAGGCTTGGTGGTAACTCAGCAGCATGGGCGAAAATTCGGTGTGCGACGGTCAGCTGCTACAGTACGTTTAAATTGGGACCAACTAAATTTTCAAGTGGTGCATTGGAGATATCGCCAATGTATGCCAATGTCATTCTGGTTGGATGAAGTTCCCCAGTTGGTCGACTGGAGGCCGGCTCTCACAGCCTTGAGACAACCAATCGAAGGACAAATTATGATCAACCACCCAACTGTCTGACAATGTTTCCCAGACCCTCAACCCACCAAGCTTGGTTGGACTTGACATGAGGAGACCTGGTTGCTCAGAAGAAGTGGACCTGCCAACGTTTTTGAGGCAATTGCCGCTGAACACACAGCACGTGCTCTTGTCCAGCGGCCCCATCGTTGGTGACAACACGCCCCTCCTGCCCAGCTGCACCCCTTCTGCATCCAGCAAGAGCTGTCCCAATCTGATCTGGGTGTGTCTGAACGTGGGTATACCGGTATACCCCATACCCCAAAGTTGCAATTTAAATGGGGAACATGATACTCAACGCAACCATCAACTTTGGGGGTACCCTAGTTTCAGGCAAATATTGCAGCACAAGATCTGCTGGTGTTGGTAAATGGGACACATTTTTTTTTTGTGGGCAAATGTCCAAAATCAAAAGGTCCAAACAGAAAATAGATTTGATGCTTACCCTGGTAGCCTAACCCCCCAAAATTTAAAGAGTTTGAAACGAAACCCATCATTTTCCCATATTTTACCCATAAAAAATGGCAACTCTATGTGCATCCCCCTTTCAGACGCACCCTGCATCATCCCAACCATGTGCCGAGGTGGGCCGGTGGGTGGCTTCTCAGCCTATCGGGTGATCTTTCTGGCCATGAATCTCACAGATGAGGAGTTGAAAAACTACTGCGACAAGGCCAGTTCTGCGATTGGACACCCAGTGGTGCTTTTATGGATGATGACAGTGATGTGTTTGAGCTAAATGTTTCAGGGGCAAGAGTTATATCTGATATCGGCTATGAGTCAAATTAGCTGGCAAATGGATGTTCATCCCGCCAATTTTTGGAACAAACGCAGGTTTTGATTCATCCCCATATTGAAGATTTCATTGAACTGTCCAATCGTCTGACTGCGGCAATCAGACGGAGGTGTCCTGTCAGTTTCGACACCGCGACGGGCCGGTGGCAACCACTTGCAGCTGGGGGGTTCTGACAGAGGCAGCTCAGGCAGTGCCTTTTGTGAGTCATATGCTGCTGAATGATGCAATCTGTTTGGAGTGCGATGTGGCTTCTGATGCTTGGATTCTGCTGTTTGTTCGCCGTTTGGATGTTTTGGGAGAAACATTCGAGCCCCATTTCTACCCCAAGCAGGCAAAAGATTTGGAGGTTTAGTAGTTGGTTTCCATGGGGGACGAGATTCCTTTTTTTTCTTTCTCCATGAAATGAGCATCGCTGCTCTTGGAGCTACAGCCAACGCTAGGGTACTGAAGCTTCAGTTCATCGGGCTTTATATGAGCCACTGCTAACCCCCTGTTGACTGATATTTGTATGGTAACATTCTCCAATATATATTGGAGATTATCACACAATATGACAAATCCTATTAACCAACCCGTATAAAGGGACGACAGAGGGTTTTGAACCCTGCTCCTATGCTTCTGGGTCAAAACCTATCGAGATTACCATCATTCATATAAATATGGAATAAGACTTTCCCTTAAAACTACCATTTTGGGGTACCCCCCCAATTAATGGAAACCCCCATATGCTTGGTGTGTTTTGAAAGCCTGTGGAACCAGGGTTTGCCATCTTGGTGAGCGGAGCGGCTCCCAAGGCTGCCACCATCAGATGGAATGAGCCGTTTCAAGTCAAGTTTTTGTGTGCTGACGTATAATATGTCTATATATATCTATATATATAATGTATATAAAGAAAATGAGTTGTGGGGCTTTCTTATGCTTTCTCTTCATGCATTCCAATCGTTCGAGCTTAGAAAAGTCCAGAAGTTCAGCATCCACTAGCTGCACTTCGCCTGCAGAAGCTTTAGGAATTTGACTAATCCCATTTCCTCAATATTAAACCCTTAAACATCCAATGACCCCCAAATAGCCATTTTAAACATCCATTTTCTCCATAAAAACAGCCATATATTTGGTTTCCAGGGGCTGTTTAATATTAGGGGGAAGGGGTTATTTCGGCCCCAACGTTGGAAGTGTTGGTCCTGAACCCTGAGGAAACCACGCTGCCGCCCCTGCGAATCGATGGCAGCCATGATGCCAATGCCGCTGATGGTTGGCAGGTGCTTGTGTGCCAAGCCATGCCAACCACTGAGGACAGTCAGTATGCTCGAATGACAAAGGTGGCCATTTGAAAAGAGATGGTGATTTTGAAACTTGCAATGTTGGTTTGTCGGAGGGAAATAGTGGACGTCTACATCTGTACACACGCATATATATATATACACATATTTATACATATATTTATACATACATGCATATGTATATGTATAAATGACATCAAATGACTGTATATTACATATAAACATTAGTTTGACTGTACTGTGCAATGTATGTATATATATATATATTGAGGTCTGCCCCCGCCCACTAACAGTTCAAAACTGCCCCCCCTTCATAAACCACATACCAAAAAAGCACAATCATATTGGTGGTAACTCAGGCCATTTTAGGGGATCCTTAGGGTCTGCTTAGGAGAAGATGTGATCTAGGTGGGCCGTACAAGTAACAAAGGGTGGAGTAGTGAATGCAACAACATCACTACCTTTGACGTGGCATTGTTTGTGGTTAAACCATTTAAATCATTTTAACGAACATTCTTTTGTATTGCGCCATATTGTTGGAGCCATCAGGACATGTTTGCTGAACTTGTCATCAACTAGCCAAAAAATCAAAGTATCGATGTTGCTGTTGATATCCTTTGATGGTTGGAACGTTGGAATGGTTCTGGGAAGTCTGACAGCTGACATCATTTTGTTTATCTGAATATTTGCGTGTCAAATAGCAATGGCAATGATTTGGTATGATGATGCAAGGTGTTGCATCGATATGATGATACGATATTATGACTCATGACATTCTTTACAATATTGAATGCAGCATACCTGAGATACCGAGACACTGCAATCAAACGGTCCAACCATTGTAAGTTATAAGTGAAAAGCGTTACAAAGGCGTGCCTCCAACAATAGTTGTTGAGGTTCTTAATAAACATCATGTGATAATTATAATTCCATTTTTTTCACATTCCCGCTCCTAGCATGGGCTCACTCTTGAGAGTTTTTTTTTGGAAAGGAGGTTGGAAAAAAGGAAATGGTGTGAGACATTTGCTGGGCCGCTGGTCCGAAGGCTGTCGAGGCCAGGTGGCCTGAGATTCATTTTTTCCAAAGAAATTGTACTTTTTTCGAAGTTTTTTTCGTGCTTTTTTTGTGCTTTTTTGTGCTTTTTTTTTGTGCTTTTCCGGCGCTCCCGAGCACAAAAAAAAGCACAAAAAAAAGCACAAAAAAAACCACAATTCATACCACAAAAAAAAGCACAAAAAAACCACAATTCATACCACAAAAAAAAGCACAAAAAAAACCACAATTCATACCACAAAAAAAAGCACAAAAAAAACCACAATTCATACCACAAAAAAAAGCACAAAAAACACCACAATTCATACCACAAAAAAAAGCACAAAAAAAACCACAATTCATACCACAAAAAAAAGCACAAAAAAAATCACAAATCATGCGCGTTTCCAGCCCGTTCGTCCTTGAAATTGCGAAGGGAAACTATTGTTTAATTTGTTTTCAATTGCCAGAAAGCACAAAAAAAGCACAAAAAAA